CCTTCTTGGAGTGAGAGGCCCAACACTGAACAAGGTACCCCACCAAAACTGAACAATCAACCAGAAGGAGCTGGGCAGGATTCCTCCATCCACTCCGCTGTCTTCACTGGAAGCAGGATTTAGCCCTAACTGAATCCATTTCAGTGTCCAAATACTCCTGAAAGCTGTGGGAGGGATCCTGCCACTCGGGCGTGATGGATGTCCCCTCCCTCTGCTCCCAGATGTGTCCAAGAAACAGAATGTTCTCGCCATGGCCTGGAGCTCCCCGCACTCTCGAGGGCTGGATGGGAGGGACTGAGGCAACACATGGAAGCTGTTACCACAGCCCCGTTCCTAGCTCTTATTCATCTTTTTTCTTTTAATCATCACAGGATTCAGACGTGATTCACCATATGTTTGAGGGAAGAATCAAAACAGCATCTACAGGTCTAGCATTCTCCCTCTTCTGCTTTTATTTAAAAGCGATGAGAAGTGAGGACACACTGTGGGAGTCCACAGGGCCCAGTCAGGTATCAAGGAGGTGGGGAAGAAAAAGGGTTATGGGGATGAACCAGCCAAGGAGGTTCCTTAGGAGGGAGAATCGACTAAGATGACCAAGATTCCTTTTTTCTCCTCCAGCAGAAACTAATTCTGACTTTTCCTCCCCTCTGTAGGTAAAATCAAAAACGTATCAGCACCGATTGACACTTGTACAGGAAAGGAAATGTGTGAACGCTGCGCTGGTCTCAACCACTTGGGAAATTCTGGATTCCTGTTTTTCTCAGCTCTTCATTCCAATCCAGAGCACAAACTAATCCTGGAACGTCAGCTTTTCCCATGATAAAAACTTCTATTTCTAGACCTGAGCTTCTCCAGTGAGATCAAGTGGCAAGGCACGAGCACGTGGGAGAGAGAAACAAACCCATCCAGCATCAGAATGGGGTGTGCTGAACCCCAAACCCCTGAATAGAGATGAACAGAAAGAGACCATTTTTGAGGTTTACAGACTGTGAAGCAGAGAAAGAAGCAGCAGAACAGGGACTCTGTGGGTGGGATGCAGTAGTCTGTCCATCATTTCAACAACAGCCTGTTCCTGCTGAGTGAGGTTGCTGACCTGGCTGGGGAGGCGATGGGCAGCCAAGCCCAGGGTACCCGACTCCAGTCCCGAAAGCAAAGATTTGGGAGGGAGAGGAGGAAGAGCATGCCAGAGCTGACTGGCTGACCACCAAACCCCGAGCACATTATATAACTGGGCTCCCTTCCCTTTGCCCATCTGACAAAACACATCCAGCCACTCCTAAATCCACCCGGCAGCAGCCCCAGCACTGGGGAGCTGAAACGGGGAGCTGGCCGGGGAACACAGCGCTTCCAGTCAGCGCCGAAGCACAGCAGAGCTTCTCATCTTGTATGGGAGAAGTAGGGCTGGAAGGAACGTCAGCCCTTGGCGCTGTCCCCTGGCTCAAGGCAGGTCCGGCTCTACTTGTGTTACTCCTGATGGAGTCCAGCCTGTCCTTGGAGACTCTGAAATGCCCCCAGTAATTTATTCCAGTGCTTTTCCAGTTTGCTGAGGCCTCTCCTACAGTCTCCATCTGCAAGTGAAGGAACCCACTTGCTAGCAAGCTGCCACACCAGGGCTGCTACCTGAGAAGCAGCATGGAGTGCTTGGGTTCATCATCTTATCCACGCCTGCTAGATGGGTGGCACAGCGAGAGGCAGAGCTGACAACACTCAGGACATCACCACAGAAACCCCAGTGATGTCAACAAGTGATACCTGTTCCCTCTGTGTGGTACATGTGTGAGAGAGAGAGACAAGGAGGCAGAACAAGAACTGAGAGCATCTAAAGTGCACCTGGAAGAGGAGGAGGCTGGAGGTGGTGACGGGGAACGTACCGTGCACTGCGCCAAGGCAGCTGAGATCTGCTGGATGTCATCAACTGTGTTCACCTTCAGCGAGTTCAGGGTTTCTGTGATATTGTTACGAGTCCAGGTCCGGAGTTCAAATTCATTCCCAGCCTCAGGTTCCAGAAGCATGGACCGCTCGTACTGAGGGAATAAAATCAGGCAGAGTGAGGAAACGCATCAGGTTGTCTTGGAGGATGATGAGCTGGGCTGAAATCACCTCTTCCCTGTACTCTGTATCTCCCTGCCTGTGCTCTTCCCCAGAGGGGAATCTAATGAGCTGGTTTTTGAGTAGAACTTCCTCAATTTCACTTGTGCTCTCCAAGCAATTATCTGAACAGCCTTTTGCTTGACAGCTGAGCAGTGCACCAGTGTGCAGTCCTTACCCAGTGAAGCACAGTGCCCGTGCTCAGGGGGATTGTCCCTGCCTGGCTTCCTGGCAAGCAGGAGGCTCTTCCTGGGGAGGAAAACATGAGTATAGACCAAAATTCCTGCCCTGCATCGAGAGATGCACACGGAGGGACTGGGCCCTGCTTTAGGGAGGTGGGAAAGCAAATCCTGCCAGGAGGACGATGCTCCTGCACTGGGGATTAGGAGCCTTGTACGCAGGGAGAAGATCTTTCCAGCTGCACTAGCTCAGCAGGCAGAACAAGGAGGTCTCCTCAGCACCCAGAGCATCACCTGAGCAGTGACAGGGAGTTTCCAGCCCTGCTGAGATGGAGTGGGGTGGCTGGCTCAGGGGAAGCATGAAGGAGGTGGGGGAATTTGGGCTGTGAGTTCTGTTTCTAAATTCAGTGTTTAGATTTGAGGTTGGCAGTAAAGAGGAAAAACTATCTGAATATGAGGACAAAAAAAGCAGGCTGCACCAGAGACACCCAGGCCACCGCCTTCTCTGGGACCTCTGCACTGTTTGCAGCCCCTCTGTTTTCCCTGGTCATTGTGTGTTTGGAGCTTGTTACTCTTTTTGATGCAGGAAAATAGCTCCAGCCCAGCTCCCAGCACTGCACATACACTGATTTACATGAAAACCTGCAGCATTAGTCATTTCCCTGCATCGCTGTGCAAAACCTGGCCAAAGAACACTACCGACGATCTCAAGGCTTTCTGGAGGCCCAGCTTGGGCAGAGAGTGCTGCTTTACCTCATTCAAGATGGTGATGAGGGCCAGAGAGTACTCGATGACCTGCTGAGGGTCCCCTTGTTTCACCAAACCCTGGAGCACAGTGTCAGTTTGATTGTAGAGCCAGTGGGAGAGGCTGGGGAAGCCCTCGGGTAAGCTGATCTCCATGGAAAAAGAAAGAGGCACCTGGGTTAAGTGCAGACTATCAAACGGGGCTGGATCTGCCCTTTAGCTGGGAAGGAAGATGAGGAGGGAAGCAAGTGGTTAAACAACAACAGCAGCACTACACACGCCTGCCCTGGTACCCAGTTTGCACCAGCTGCTTGTAGGAACATCATGGACCTGAAGCTGATTCCTCACCAGTCCAGCTCTGTGGAGCTGCAGCTGGAGGACACACACATGGGTGCACTGAACCCAGAGGAGTAAATCCAGGTCTAGTTTGCTGGAGCAGTAAGAGCACTCAAACCCAGGGTCGGTGTGCTGGGAGGAGCTGCACTGCGTTTGGCATCGTTCCCTGGGGCCTGAGGAACAGCTGGGACACAGATCCTCCTCCGCAGGCACTGCAGGACCACGCGCTCCAGCCCGGGCGGCCAGGACCACGGGTACAGTGCCAGGAGCTGCAAATCAGCCTTGAGAAGGAGCAGTTCCTACAGCTTGGCCAGACAGCAGACACCAACCCAGGATGCTGCCCAAAGACCTGCGGGCACTTGTCACCTGCAGGGAGGACACTGAGGGGTGTTTGCCGAAGGGATAACTGGGCTTTGAAGGTACTGGCCGTGCTGAGATCTGAGCTGCAATCCCTTCCACCCTGTTCAAATGCACATGCTCTCCACTTTGGCTGGATGAAACCTCCCTGGCTCTCAGCAGCAGGTCACCAGGCCACCTGCAGCAACAGAGCTTGCTGCTGCCAACTCTCCTGTGAGGGCTCCTGATGCAGAGAAGGTGGTGGAGCACAGAGATCTTCTGAGAAAGTGACATGGTGCCTTCAAAGCAAGGCATCACCAGGGAATTGAGGAGGTGGTCAGGAAAGCAGTAATTTATGGGAAAGTCTCCTCCTTGAGCAATGACCCACAAAGACTCTGTGGAATTCTCTGTACTGCACTTCTGCTGAGCCTCCCCTCACCTTCCTGCCAGCAGCCTCTGCCAGGAGGCAAATATTTCACCCAGGATGTGCCGAGCCCTTCAGGACAGAGACCCAGTGGTCAAGCCATGAAGACTGACTCAGGAGCCCAGGCTGGACACTGGTGCTGCCCTGTAAGCCCAGCCAGGGAGCTGGGGGTCTTACCGGTTAACGGCCACCACGGTCGCTCCCAGCTGGTCCTGAACAAGGACGGACACGGACACCGTGAAGCCGCTCTCGCGGAAGCCGGGCGGCAGGAAGGCGCTGTGCTCGGCTCGGCTGCCCTTGTACACGCAGAACTCGTGGTAGTGCCCAGCCCTGCGGCGAGAGGCCAGGAGGATGTAGACCAGCGGCCCCTCCGCGTCCTCCGTGTCTCGCCAGCCTGGAAAACAAACCCGGGCAGGGGATGTGATGGGACAAGGACATGGTGGGGCTGCAGCCACCATCACAAAGCCCAGCCCATCCGTCACAGCGTCTGTGCTCATTCCCTCCCCTGGTGTGTCCCATCCTGCTCAGCCCTTCAGCGTGGCATCTCCCCTCTCTGCTGTCCCCAGCAAGGGGTCACCCTGCGCTGGCAGAGGAACAGCTTGTCCCCACCAGTAGGACAGCTTGAGGGCTGCACTGGGCTGGGGGGACACAATGGAAAGCTCTGACTTTGAATTTTCCTGATGTTTAGGGGTTTCTCCCTAGATGTCTGACTCCTGTAAAGTTTAAAGGTATTTGTGAAGAGTTCATGAGCAAAACAGAACTGGGAATAACTCTGCTGGGGCTGGGAACAGCACTGAGCCAAGGCCACAGCTTCTGTACAAGCCCAGCAAAGCCTGACACCAGGCACGGGCTCAGCGCAGCCCTCGGGCACTTCAACATCTCAGGAATGACCGAGTCTACAATAAAACCTGCACAAAGGTTTCCTTGGAGCTCTCAGGAATTATGAGGAGTCCTGTGGGAGCTGGGCAGTTGGGAAATTCACTGTGTGTTTGCCAGTGAGCACCAGTGAAGGTGCTGGTGCTGCCAGGGCTCACTGCACTGGACATCGACCCGCGGGTCCGTATCCTGCGTGTTTCACTTCAGCTTGAAAACAAGCACTGAAGAGCTAAAATTCCCACCACTCCAAAGAGGTCTTTGATTATTCTGGGCAGCTCAAAACATACTGAAGTTACAACCACATCGTGCCAAATAAAATCCTGCTTCTCCCCCAGCTGAAGCTGGGCTTTGGTGACCACCACCCCCAGAAGCAGCAGAGCCCATCGTCTCCTCTGCAGCGTGGCTTCCCAGCATTTGCGCAGACAGCATTCATCTCTTAACACTAATCATTTGGGGAAATATGGTTTTCAGAGGCACTTATTCCTTGGCCCGAGGCTACAGGACGTCAGCCAGGCCACTTTTCCAAAGCTAGGCTCGTTGTTGCTGTCTCTGCAGCTGGTTGAGAAGGTAACTGCCAATGGGAACATCCAGCCCACATGGCAGAGGAGGCCACAGCGCTTTGTCTTTTGACTCTTCCCACATGTGTGTGACTCAGTTTTGGGCACCTATCTTCTTTTTCCTGCATTGAAATACCAGTTCCTTCTGCAAGTAGAAACTGTCTGGCCTGGATATCGACATTCAGTTACAGGAATTAGGGTTTTTAAAAGTGTCTGCTTGCTACCATGAGAGCTCTGTAATTTGGGCACACAAAGCTGCTCATGGTCCAAACTTTGGGGATCAGAAATGGAAAGATCCACTTAAACTGGAAGAGGGGGGATGGAGATGAGATGTGAGGAAGAAATTCTTTGGTGTGAGGGTGGTGAGACAGTGTCCCAGGTTGGCCAGAGAAGCTGTGGCTGCTCCTCCCTGGAAGTGTTCAAGGCCAGGTTGGATGAGGCTTTGAGCAACCTGGTCTAGTGGAAGGTGTCCCTGCTGCTGGCAGGGGGGTTGGAACTGGATGAGCTTTAAGGTCCCTTCCAACCCAAACCAGTCTGGGATTCCATGATTTCTGAACTCAGCCCTGGACAACAGTGTCCTGGGGTAGGAGCTAAGGATAAAGAAAACATCTGTGGGGAGAAAGGCAGCTGGTAACACACTGGTCATGAGAAACCTTCACCACAAGGAGCAGAGAAGGCTGGGCAGTGCCCAGCACCCCTGTCCCTACGCTCTCACCTGCACACTCAAAGTGGACCTTTGCCATCAGTGCCCTGAGGGGTCCTTTGGGAGACAGCCGGCAGGATCCTCCCACGGGCGGCTGGTTTGGGAGCAGATCGATGGAGGCGAATCCCTCCTCCCCTGTTGTGAGGTCTGTGATGTGGAGGGTGAAGGTGTATCCCTCCCCATCCTTCAGTGCCCCTTGCCTCAGGACCAAGTTCATTCCTGTGTCGCCAGTGGAGGTGGTTTTTTTGTCCAGGATGAGAGACTTGTTTTTAAAGCTGTGTGCTGCCCATCTCTACAGAGATGAAGAGGAAAAAGACAGGAGAGGTTTTGTTTAAATCCAAAGTTATGTCCTTAAAATGTTTTCGGATTGAGTCTCTTATAAAAAGTAACAGATTTCTAGTGGGAGCGTCTGCCAAATTTGCAGTTGATAATTCAACTTTAGTCTTGTGTGCTACAGCAACAAGAACTGGAACCTTTCCAAAATGTCTGGTGGGAATATTTCCACTGTGAGATCTACTTTAGTCTCTGGGATTACATCACCCTCCGACAGAATATTTCATAATACAGAATACAAAACACAGGAAATAAATTAAGTACTGGTGGAGTCTCCATGGGATACCATGTTTTATCTGCTTCAAGCTGAACGTGTCCTGGATGGTTACCGTTAACAGCACAAACGTACAATTGCAATAACAAGAGGAACAGTGAGCCAGCCAGCCAGAAAATGCCATGCAAGTGCACGCTGGGCTTGCTGGGAGCAGCACAGACTAGTTCTCACAACAGGACTTCCACTTCTGAGACCTGCTTCACTCAACAGGTTGCAGAGATGCTGCGCAGTGGAATCTGTAATTGGAGGAGGGCACGACTTGGGGGATCAGAAGAAACTGAACCACCTCTGCTTGAGCCACCAGAATAATGGGCAGAATGAAAATCAGCAGGGAGAAGAAAACACTCTACAGATCTCTTCTAGGACATAAAGTGGCTTTTGTGTGAAACGAGCTGGTCACTCATGGGCTTGGCTTGAAAATGACCCAGCAAGGACTTGCCCTTGGGTGGCCTGAGACACTGATGGAGGACTGACAGGCCCTGTGTCCCACAGCCCGCAGGCATGACCCAGGGCAAGGGAAAGCTCTGGACATCTCATGGTGGGGGTCCAGTGCTCACAGGACATGGGAAACCTGCTTCCCAGGCTCTCCTAGCCTCCTCCATGCTGCCAAGACATGGCAGGGCACACAGGAGCCCCATGCCACTCCAGGCAAGCTCCATGCAGGGCCTCTTTCAAACTTCTGATTCTGCAAGCCAGTCCTGCAGCCAGTTCCAAGGGCTGTGAGGAAGAGACGAGTATCAGCCAACCCTCTTCAACCCCTCAGCCAGGCCCAGCCTGCCACTGCATTTATGGAAACAGAGACTGTTTCCTCTCCTTGTCTCCACAGCAGTTCAGGCCCAGGACTTTACTCCTCACATAACTCTTTCCACCCTGTCCTCTCTGACTCTCCCCTTCTCCCTGAAGTCCACCAAAGGTGAAGCAAAGACCAGCGTTGCTGATGACTTTACCCCAAGCTTGGAGTCATTGTGACAGTTCTGGCAGGTCCCCTCCAGGTAGACGTAGGAGCTCTTGCTCACTTCATAGACAGACTGAGCCTTGCAGGAAACGCACTCCAGGGACACGATAGGGACTCCTCCTCTCTTGATGAACACCTGGGAAAGCAAGAGGCTCCATCAGAACATCTCAGACAAAAACACAGACATCTAACAGGTAAGCAGACATCCCAGCAGCTGGTTCTGGAAGGAGGAATCACTCTGTACCAGCCCTGTGCTAAGGAAACAGCAGAAAGGGATTTCCCAAGGATTTTGTGTCTGACTTAAGCTACATCACTATTGTTAGATTGGCCAGGGAGAATTGTCACTGATTTTCAATAGCCACCCAATGCCAAGCTGAGCCTATCTAGGTAATTCTGGATTTACTGTATTTACACTTTTTAACAACAGAAATCACTTTCAAAATGTCCCCCTGGTACTCTGTGCTGAATTCCCAGCAAGTCCTGCCTGTGCTGTTGGGTGGGGATGATGCTGACTGAAGTGTTTTGCTGTACCAACCATCTCAGGACAGCTGGTAACCCTACAAAAATGGGATCAGTGGTAGAGTTTGGACAAGAGGAGTGGTCTAACTGGGAGGAGAAAAGCCTCCGTTACAGCACAGACCAAATATCTGGTGAGCATCTGCCCTGGGAAGCAACTGCAGCTCAACTTTGTTTGCTGTTGGCTAAACTCTTGGTGGTGGAGAGCCAGCAGATCTGCCGTGGACACAGGAGTGTGGGGCTGTGGGTCCCTGTCCTCGACTCAGAAGGTCACTAAATGGGAAGTGCTGACAGTTCAGACTAACAGAGGGCTCGGGGTGAGCCAGGCAGCCTGGGCTTACTGGGGATGAGCTGCCCTGTGCAGAGCCAGGGCATGGTCCTGCTGTGTCCCCCATCCCTGCTCTGATCTACAGAGCTTGGTCTGGAACTGGGTGCTGCATTTCAGGACCTGACCCTTGGGCTCTCGAGTGCACTGCGTGTGCAGAACCATCACTGTTGCTGTCACTACCAACGTCCCTGAGAGACAGGAGTGACAATAAGAACAACCAGAGCACAGATCTCGCCCTGGGCATCACAGACATCTTGCTCTGCAGCCTGGAAGAACCACCTTCTCCAGAGAGCAGCGTGTTGTGCCAGGCTTTTAGCTCACACCTCAGAACATCTACGACACCTCCTCGGCAGAGCACTCGGAGAGAGGAGAGCTGTGAAGCACCGGTGGCTCAGACACAACGGCCACTGAGCTCTGACCCCTGTACTCTGTCTCAATTCCTTTAATCCCCTGGGAAACGGGCTTGTCCAGCAATCGGCAGAGCCCTCTGCCCCAGCATGAGGAATATTCTGAATCCAGAGATGGACAGTCACAATGACACTGTTTAATGTGGCAGACTTTTAAAAGAGGACAAATACTCCACAGCACTGAGCCGGGGCGCGTTGAAGCTTCATTCATTCCGACAGTATTTGCAAATTTCCTGCGACACTGGAATCATTGTTTTGCGCTCACGCACGGAAACCAGATAGTACGGAATGTCCTTGAAAGACTAGCAATTTCATTTCATTTTTTTTTTCTTTTTATCCTCCAGCTTTGGTTTAAAACCCAGGCAGTAAGAGTTTCCACTTTCAGACTAACTACATCTCTAATTGCCAAACGCACCACGATGAATGTTTCTGACATAAACCATAACTGCTGTCGGACTGCAGACGCGCTCAGCGCGAGGCTTAATTTGACATAAACAACATGCACTTTAAAAAAGCCTCCCTTAAAAAAAATCCACAAGGAGAGAAGAGAGAAACTGTTGACAGTAAAATTAAGTACCAGCTCTTAGGAAACTCTCTCTGGGCAAAAATCAGGGAAGAGTCTGGAGCTGGGACATGTCAAGTGCCCGGGACTGTAGACAGTGGTGGAAGAGCTACTGACCACGGGCTCCTTTGCTGTCCTCCTACAGCAGATCTGTGGTCACAGACTCAGTCCCAGGAACGGTGGCCAGTACCAGCCAGGGCTGGGTCACTAATGCACAGAGAGGGACTAACACGAGGTCTAAAGGAAGGAAGAAACTAAAAGGACTTGGCAAGACAAGCAAAAGTGTTGCCCAAGGCTCATGAAAATACCAGTGTCTGTTCCTGCCAGTGACCTGGATGGGATTGGTTATGGAGCCCCAGTGATGATGCCCCAAAATCCACCTCCCTGCTTTCCCAAGCTGGCTGGTGCAGGTGGACAGTGGCACTTCCACAGCCCAGCTCTCGGGTGGGGCCAGGGGACACTCCCAGCTTGGCTGTGTCCAGCAGCAGGCACACAAGGACAGAGAGCGAGAGTTGTCTGTGGTACGTACGGTTTGATTCGTTGCCTCGGGACTCATACCCTCCTTCCTGATGGTGAGGTCGAACGTATATTCCACATCTGCTTCTAATACAGCTTTGGAAATTGTGACAATTCCTTCCTTGGCACTGAAATTCAGAGAGCACCCTGCAGCCGAGCTCTGCTTGCAAGGAGAAAAGAACTTTCAAACCCTCCTTGGTACGGGTGCACGTCGGGTTAGTCCACAGCCAAAACATTCAGGTCCACACAAAGTCACTGTTACAGACCTCCCTGTGCAATGCCACCCCTGGGGTGGGAGGAACAGGGGGTGTGTGGACAATAAAGCACATTCGCTTATCCTTCAGGTTAGTAAGCAGTACTTGGAACACTCCTATATTTCATCTAAGCTTCACATTCTTACTTTACAGCAATTAATTCTGCATTAGATAGCTTAGAAACGTTGCCAAACACCACCACACATGAAACTCTCAAGTCTAACCCACACACACACTCCAAATCTTTCTATTTTGAGGCAAAGATAGAAAACGACGACTTTTTACAAGCAAAAGAATCCCACTTCAGTCAAAAAATGCTCCCGAGGTGGATCTCCCGTAAGAATTTGAAGGGCAAATCCTTAAGAATTGTCCTTCTATCACTGTAGGGTCAGACCACTTCAGCATGTGAGGACAGTGACCTGCTAGTGACCACGGTGACCATGACTTGTGGTCACTTGACTCCTCTGAAGTCTAACTTTTGGCCTCTGCTGAAATCAGAAACATTTAACTGTTAACGGGAGGGGGACCAGAGCCCTCAGCTCCCTGGACTGCAACCAGCAGCTCTGTGATGCCTTCAGGTTATGGAAGCAGCTACCCTGAAACCATGGACCAGAGGCAAGTGCAAGGGAAGCAGCGATGTGAATGCCTCAGCTTCCAGTGCCACCACTTCTGCCTTGCCCAGGGACACTGCACAGTGCTCCACTGCAATTTCTGTACCCTCATCCTGAGCTGCGAATTGGAGAAACCTTTGCAACCCTCTTTCTGGAGCAGCTTTGTTAAAGATGCTCACAAAAGCTTCCCTCAAGATCATTTCAACCCAGACATGTTTGTAGTGGAGCTGGAGCTCCGAAATGACCACCCTCTGTGGTTGTGGAAAACTGCTCTTACCTTGGAGGAGAACGTACAAGACCAATCGTACAACAACGGAGTCTGGTCACCATCATCCAAGTTCGGGTCATAGGATTTCTCCCCATCCAAGATCAAGTCCTGAGTGTTGGACCATACACGGTATGACCCCCCATCAATGATTGGGACCAGCTTACTTGGTATCACAGTAACATTGGCAAAGATGCTTTTGGACAGTGGGGTGTCTCCAAAGGAGACAATAAAGATGAAGCAATAGTTCCCAACTTCCAGGGCAAGCTTTGGTATAACTAACTGGGGCCTGTTCACATCAACGTTTGGCAGACGGATCCTGCTGGAGTCATCCAAGTTCATGCAGCTAGGTGCTCGGTAGATCTCCCAGAGGTGCTCTGTCTGGTACTTGATGCATCCTCGGAGGTCAATCTGTGCCTCTAGGTAGTTCCTCTGGGACCGCTTCATGACTACTTGAGGAGGCAAAGCTAACTCCACCTCTGGCTCCTCGCACTCCAGGACTTTGACAGTGACAGTGAGGTGGGCTATGAAGAAGCTGATGAGATTGGTGGCATTCACCTCCACCAGGTAATCCCCAGGGCTCAGGTAAGAATAGTTGGCCACTGCAACCCTGGTGAACTGAGTGGAAGAGCCATCCCCAAAGGTCCACAGGAACTCAACACTCCTGCTGCTGGGCACCACTGCTGCTTCAAACAGGGCTGTCCTGTTGACAAAGGCATTGGAGGCAGTGAGGGAGACTTGGACGATTGGGTCTTGGACCTGGATGGTTCTGGTGATATTGATACCTCCCAAGTCATTGAAGGCATTGAGGTGAATCTCGAGCAGCCCTGCAGCTTCTGGAGTGTAGGAAACACTGTCTCCTGCCGCAGTGACCACGGATCGACCTTGCTCTTTCAACAGGGAGAACTGCCAGGAGAATGACACGCGGGAGCCACTTCCCACCTGGGCACTGAAGGTCTTCTCCATGCCCGTGGGTATGCCCTTCTCACAGCAGTTCAGGAGCCTGACATCACGAATGGCCTCCAGGACAGAGATGAGCACCTGGGCATGTGCGATGCTGATTTGGTTCTGCACTGTCACGGTCACCAAATAGTCACCGCTCTTGGTGAACTCATGTGTGTACTTGGACCCGTTGAGCACCACAGAGTAGTCCCCACTTATGCTCACCAAGTAACTCACAGAGGTACCTGACAACATCCTGATCACAAAGGTGACCTGTTCTCCTGGTTCCACCACCTTCTTGCTGGCAAGAACTTCCAGCCCTTGAATCCTGTCCAGCACTGAGATGTTCCTGCTGGCCAGAGCCCAGCTGATGTCATTTGATGCATTCAGATAGACCGTATAAAACCCTGCAGTGGGGAACGTGACTGCCACGGACTGGCCAGTCAACGTGACATTTGGCACCTCCCAAACCCACGTCACTTCAGTCCCTTTCTGCAGCTCCCCCTCAAAGACCACCGTGGAGCCTGATGAGACGTACCTACAGTCCAGCTCTGCAGTCCCTATACTCAGCCCCTCTATGACCTCCTCTACGTAGATAGAAATCGTTGCGTTGGTTGAATCCAGCTTGTTCTCTGCTCCAACGATGACCTCTATCACTCCAGGGCTTTGGAAGGAGTGGATAATAAAGGGTTCAGAGGTAACAGGAGAGAAGCCATCCTCCAGGTACCAAACGTAGGTGATGCCAGTGCCACTGGTTATGGTGGCACTGATGTTAACAGAGGCATTAACAGCAGCTGGGTTGGGGAAGGCATAGGGCTTTAAAAGACCAACGCTTTCAATGAACTCCAGCGTCCTGTTGGCAGTTGCACATCCCAGCATATTAGTGGCTTTCAGATAGACAGTGTAGTTTCCAGCTTCTAGGACGCTCAAGGAGAAGGTTTTCCCAGTGGAGGTCTGCACAGCATTGCCATCCCTTTGGATGACCCAGCTGTAAGAGATGTTTGTTCCCTCTCTCACCACTGCTTGCAAATGGAGGGTTTTGTTAGTTGGGAAATAGATGTCTTCCACCAGGTCACTGCTAGCCACCTGCAGGCCTTCAATCTGCTCCAGGACATAGATGTAGATGCTGTCCTGCAACGAGCTGATCTTGTTCTCTGCTGTCACAATGACATTGAAAGTGCCCACAGACCGGAAAGTGTAGGAAATGGTGGAGGAGCCTTGGATAGGAGTGCAGCGGTCACAGAGGATCCACGAGTAGCGGATGGCACTGCCAGCTAGAAGGGTGGCTACAAAACTCACTGACCCATTTAATGGCACCACTGTCCTGCTGGCATTGATGGTGAGCCCGTGGAGCCGACGTTTCACTGCGACGTCGATGACGGTCTCGTTAAAGCTCACATCGTTCCGGCCCGTCACACTAATGGTGTAATGACCCGTGGTGTTGTAGGAGTGGGTAGCGACTTGCCCAGGCTGGGTAGTGCCATCTCCAAAGTCCCAACAGTAACTCACTTTGGTTCCATTCATGCTGGCAGAGAACAGGTAGATCTGGTTCAACTCCAAAACACTTGTCCCGTTATATTCAATCTTTGCTACCCCAACTGGTTCCTGGACTTCCACAAACGCCGTGTCATTGTTGAAAGAGACATTGTTGGAGACGGTCACCGTGACCAGGAAGACCCCTGTGTTCTTGTAGGTGTAGGTCACTTCAGTCCCACTCGATCTCGTGGACTCGTTGTTCCCAAAATCCCAGCGGTAGCGGTACTGGTAGAGCGGCACGGCACTGACCTGGAAGCTGACCTCTTCACCCAGCCTCACAAAGTGCTTGGAAGGGAGAAGGGTGACATTGACTATCTCTGGCTCCACACAGACACTGGTGAAATAGTGAGCCTTGTTAAACCTGCTTGAGAGAGTCAGGGAGAGGGGGAATGTCCCACTGCGGGTGAAGTTGTGCATCACCACAGGGTCCCCACTTATTGTGACATTGGATGAGCCATCTCCAAAAGTCCAATCAAAGATGTATTCATCAGGATTCCCCGTCACGTACGCAGTCAGCTGCACATCCGGGTGCTCAAGGATGCAAGAAGCAGGTTCTATCTTGAGTACTTCCAGGACAAATATCCGAACAGGCACAGTCTGGGAGACAGAGTTCACAGGATTCACAGCTGTCACGTTCACGGTGCAGTTGATGTCCTTTATGTACACGTGTTCTACCACCGGCACCGGACTCCTCAGCACCGTCCCGTCCCCCATATCGAATATCCAGGTGATACTGTCCCCTGTCTGCACCGAAGCATTGAGGGTCACAGATGCTCCCAGCTCTGCTGCCTCATCTGCGGAAACACGGAGCCCAGTTATCTCTTCAAACACTTGGTAGCACTCAACTGTCTCCACACTGCTTACGGTATTGTTCGCCGTCACGGTGACGTTGTACACGCCTCTTCTGGAGTAGCTGTAGGTCACTGTAGACTGGCTCTCTGTGAACAGTGAGGACCCGTCCCCAAAGTCCCAGGTGTACACAACGCCATAGGGAGACGGCAATGGATTGGCTCTGAAGGTGACTGGACGGCTCACAACTAAAACATCCTCCTCTACTTCCAACTTCACATCAATCAGATAACTGTGGATGTGAACTGGGGTCAAGTGGGTGAGGTTCTCAAACTGGTTTGACACGACAACCACCAGGGCATATTCTCCTGCATTGGGAGAGAGCAGAAAAAGACCAGTCGTGAGGACATGCTCGTGCAAGAGCTTCCTCAGTGCTGCAGCAGCGTGGGGAGTGTGACAGGGGGCTGCAGGGAGATGCTCTGCTCCTGCACTGTGCACACCCTGGGCTTCCCTCCTCTAGTCCAGGACAAGCAGGAATTAGAGCCAGGCCATGCATGTGAGGACCAAACACCAAGTAAGAAACCAGTTCAACAGATAGAGAGAAACATGGTCCGAATCTGGGGGTTGTCCTGTGCAGGGACAGGAGTTGGACTCGATGATCCTTGTGGGTCCCTCCCAACTCACAGCATTTGATGATTCTATGACTTTTAAGCCATTTTTTTTATTAGAAGGTGCCTTGTAACCCCCAGGCAACAATAAATCCTGATCCCCTTCTCCCCAGAGAACCATCCAGAGCATACCTGGGTCTTGATAGACGTGTGAAACATTGTGCTCGATCACAACCTCATGGACACTGGGATCAGGAACAAGGAAAGACTTGTTGTAGGGAGGTTTGAACAGGTATGTCTCCTGGCCACCATCTCCAAAATCCCACCTGGAGAAACATGCGAAACATGTTACACTGCACAATAGGAGAAGGGTGGAAATCCCAGAGGAAGCCTGGCCTGGCCTAGGGCTGGTTTTCAGGCTCAGGGCTGGGGTTTGCAGTAAAAACCATGGGAAGCATAAAGCCAAGTATCAAAGCAGTAGCTGTGCCCAACGCTGCAGGACAGTTGCTGTGAGAGGAGTACAGCACCAGTACAAACAGGAGGAACCCCATAAAGCAACACTGCAATCCTTGAAAGGAGAAGTATCTCAGCCTGAACTCTGGCTCCCAGCCAGCGGGACTGACCCACACTTGCAGGCATTTCAAATTAACTGGACAGCAGCACAGAAATGGGCCATCTGACATAATCTGGCCCTGGGAGGAGAAACAGTGCAGGTGAGACTGGTGAGCGAGACACAGGAAGATCCTAAGTTCAGGCAACTTGCAAAGGACTCACAGGAACATGGCATCCACAGCTGAATCAACCCGAACTCGTGCTGTAAGCTCCACGGTGCTGTTCTGAGGGAGGACGGGCAGGACACCAAACACCGTCAGGTTCTTCATCTTATTCATCGTCTCCACCGTGACATTGTAATTGACCGTAAAGTTACTGACGTGGTTGGAGGCGGTGAGCTGGGAAGGACAGTGGGACAAAGAATGTGTTTGGGATCACCTTGCTGGGCTGCTCTCTCCTGAGAGTGGGGCTTCCCCATACCAAAGAGGTTCCCCCCAGGCAGGCGAGCAGGTTAGGTCAGAGAAGAGCAGCCTGTGGGACAGGGAGGCAGGGGCAATAGCCTGAGCAGGCACTGGAAAGCAGCACAGACTGGAAGGCCACCTACCTGGAAAAGCCACCTCTTGCTGGAACCACCACATCTCCACCACTAAAGTCCAAAGCAGGACTGGTTCTACAGCAAGAGGACAAGCTTCTCATCCCCAGACTCCTCTGGCTCTGAACTTGCCAGTTACCCTTTTGCCTGCTCCTAGGTGCCTCACACACTGTCTCCAGCTGCTGAGCATAGGCACTTGCTGCCACCAAGGGGGCAACAGCCACCCAGTTTCCTTAGGACACTGGCAGATGAGTGGCTCCAAGCAGAGGCAGTGGAGATGGGAGAGACTCCTAGAACCAAGCACGCCAAGTGCAGCTCCAGCATCCTGAGTGTAGCAGGCACCAAGAGGGAGAGCAAAGGTGGGCAGAGGAGGGAAAGGGAGAATGGATGGGCAAGAGACTGAAGGGACATGACAGGAGTGGGATCCTCAAGATTATCTAGGCAGGTAACACTGACATGGCACCTAATGATGAAGCATGTTGCCACCTCCTCACCTGCAGGAGAGCTGAGCTGCTAACAGAAGGGATCCTTCAAACCTGGTTGAATAACCTCCCACCCCCATGGATAGAAGAAGTTTGTGTCCAGGCTTCTGTGGATCTGTTACACTGAACCCAGTTGACCCCAAGCTAACGCCACCTTGTCAGCTCTGTAAGTGAAAGCAATCCAGGCTTGTCAGCACAGTGCTTCACCCAGCCAATCAGTGCTGCTCAGCATGGTGCTGCACCAAGCAAATTAGTGCCAGCGTGCCCTTGGAGCTGGGGCTGGTGTCTCTTCAGGAAGCCAGCAGTTACCCTGCAAACCCTCAAGCAGCTTGGAGCCAGACCAGGACTCTGCAAGGCACTACAGGGCATGATACAGAAAGACGTTCTGGCCAGAGATAAACTCTTATCCCACAACAGATCCCTCCCTCTGCCCAGACTCTGCTCTTCTGGGGTCATGACAAAACCCAGCATTGCCGTCTGCACCAGCAGACAGAGAAGATCAGAAGAGCTTGTGGCAGAAGCTCTGTCTTGCCTATCAAAGTCTTACGTTTGCATCCTGCCTCTGCCCGGTTCTGAATCCACAGCTCCTGCCTGCCAAAGCAGTGGCCAGCACCTTGCAGTGGG